AAAGGGTTACTGGAGGGCTTGTGGGAGGGGGATTAAGGAAACTACTCCTAACTTGGTTGTAAATTAAAAAATAAATTAATTGGGGCGCCTGGGTGGCTCAGTCGGTTAAGTGTCCAACTTCGGCTCAGGTCATGATCTCACGGTTCGTGGGTTCGAGCCCTGCGTCGGGCTCTGTGCTGACAGCTCAGAGCCTGGAGCTGCTTCAGATTCTGTGTCTCCCTCTCTCTCTCTGACCCTCCCCTGCTCACTCTGTCTCTCCCTCTCTCTCAAAAATAAATAAAACATTACCCCCAAAAATTAATTAATTAAAAAACCACGTGTGTGTGTGTGTGTGTGCGCGTGCGCGCGCGCGTGTGCCGAGGAAGAGAAGCTGGTCTGTGAGGACACCTAACGAGCTGGGCCTAGCTTCCAGCCCCAGCCAGCTACTCCCCTGCACTGCACCCCTTGGCATTCTCTCCAGTCCCCCATAGCCTGGGCGCGACCCCCACAGGCAGGGAACCCAGGCCAGAGGGAACAAACAAGAACACTTGACCATGAGGTGTCTCGCAGGGGGCGGCCTCTGCCGTGCTTTCCCTCCGCGTACCTGCAAGAGCTCAGATATTTCCAGAACTTCCACAACCACCTGAAAGCGGACAGAATGAATTTCCCATGAACACCCTTTCTAGAGCCTTTCATCGGCTCCTTGTTGCCCTTAGCACGAAGTCCCAGCACCGTGGCCGGCACGCACGCCCCTGCAGACGGCGTCTGTGAGCTGCTGCCCTGGGACCTCTGGCCCGCAATCCAAAGCCACTCGCAGGTCCAGCCCCGCCTCTTCACGCCCGCAGGGCTCTGTTCTCGCTGCTTCCTCGGCTTCGGGCCTCCCCGTGCCCCTCGGGCAACGCGTATCTTCTCATGTTTCACCACAGGAGCGGAGGGTGATTTCCTCTAGAAAGACTGCCCGCAGTCTCTAACGTCTGCCCGCGCTGCCCTGTGCGCCCTGACCACTGCCACCCGCTGCGCCTCTGCACTCGTTCTCATTTCCAGAACACCGTCCTTGGGTTTGAGAAGAGGACTCCTCTCACAAGGTCTTTGTGAACACAAATGGGAGTATGTCTTGGGCAGGACGTTCTTGGTAAACGTTACGAGCACCGTATCAGCACCTGCCTGTTACCCACTTACTTGTCTGTGTCCCATATGAAATGGTCCCCCCCCCAAGGAACTGCAGGGACTCACCACACAGGTCTCTGTTTCCCCAGGGCTTCAGACGGAGCCGGGCACACGGGCAGCCTCATCTATTACTCTCACACTTGCCCCTCCTCTCAGCCACACTGTCCTCATTGCCGTTTCTGGAACGTTCCAGGTACACGCCCGTGTCAGGGTGTCTCCACCGGCTATCCCCTCTACCCGCTGGGGCTTCCAGACACGCACCTGACTCCCACCTTCCTGCCCTCCCAGACTTTGCTCTCATGTTATCTTCTCAAAGAGGCCTGTGCTTACCAGCCATTCAGACCGCAAAGTCTCCCCATACAATATAGCTCTGCTTGTATTTGTTGGATAAAGAGATGGATGAAAGATCATTAAATTAATCTAGTGGAGAAAAAACCACCATGCAAGCTTATTTGAGCCATAGTCCTTACACTGTGGTTTCTGACCCTGCTGTAGAAAGCAAATGGGGGAGAGGGGGCGCCTGGGTGGCTCAGTTGGTTGAGTGTCTGACTTCAGCTCAGGTCACGATCTCACGGTTTGTGGGCTCGAGCCCCACGTCGGGCTCTGTGCTGACAGCTCAGAGACCGGAACTTGTTTCAGATTCTGTATCTCCCTCTCTCCCTGACCCTCCCCTGCTCACACACACACACACTCTCTCTTTCTCTCTCAGAAGTAAATAAAACATTTAAAAATTAAAAAAAAAATAACTGGGAAAACAAACGAAAAACTCGTGGATTCCAATCATTATCAGTTAGCCCAGAATCCTCATTCAACAAACCTCCCTCTCTTCCCATGCTTCCTACTTCCTCCTAGAAACTCCCCTTCATCAGCTTAAGCAGTTTAGGCGATACAATCGGAATCAACTGAGGACTTCCAATCAAGTCAGAAAGATCCTTCTTATGGATGGCTGCCTCTGACAAGAAGGGGAGCCTTGGGGAAGAACTTTCCCCGCAGAATCAATAATAAGAAAAAGTCATGTGCAGAGGCTTTCTGATAAGAGTTGTGTACACAGGCCCATTGCCTCACAGCCTTCCTTTTTCATGCAGTGCACAAAAAATGCAGGAGTGGGGCCCTGGGTGGCACAGTCCGTTAAGCGTCTGACTCTGGGTTTTGGCTCAGGTCATGATCTCACATTCATGAGTTCGAGCCCCGCGTCTGGGTCAGCGCTGCTGGTGTGGAGCCTGCTTGGGAATCTCTCTCTCTCTCTCTCTCTCTCTCTCTCTCAATAAATAAATAAATAAATAAACTTTAAAAAAAAAGATAAGGGACACTCAGGAGCATCCAGAGTTAGCAAATATACACGGACAGAATTTTCTAGAGCTGGAATTAGTGGGAGAAATTAGGAAGAGGGTGACAGGCAGCAAAATTTCCAACAGCTATTTGTGATTGTGGCAGAGTCCTCCCCCACCTCCCGCATTCTCGCTGGCGTTCTTTCCCTCCTTGTCTTTTAAGATCTGTTGCTACAGGAATTGGAACACTGTGATCTGGCTCGCGATGGCAAGAGGTTCCTGGAACACTGAGAATCGGACTATTCATGGATAGATAGCAGAGCCAAAGATGGATCCCAGGCCACCACGAAAAAGATTTGCCTGAAGCGAAATCAATTTCGTCAGCATATCTATTGCCAGAATGGCTTGATTCAGGAGGAGGGTTGCATTTCTGCTAGAAGATGCTGATATTTTGAGCATTAGAGTTCTAGTGTCTCTGATGTTTCTGGGCACCAAATTGGGGTAACAAGCATAATGGGGGTGCTTCGAGAGGGGTGGCCAGTAGACGTTTGTGTCACCGGGTTCTTCCTGCACTGTGAGGGGAGTAAAAATCCTTGATCCCCTGTACACTGCGACCTGTGTACCCCACTTCCGCCTCACAGAATCCTACAAGGAAGAACGTCCCTTGCAGAGGTCACAGCTCACGGGTGTTCCTTCACCATGATGCAGATCTATTTCTCACTGGGGGTTAGGCGATTGCTATTCTGAGTTTTGTTACTGAGGGTCTTCCTGCATTGTTGTGAGAGGCAAACGAGACAGCCTAATGGAGCCTGAAGAGTAATAGACAAACTCTTTTCCAATCACTGGAGCGAAGTAGGAGTTAGGAAAAAATCCCTGAAAATACTAATAACTATAGTAAATTCAAATGGGAAAGGAGAGCACTTAATATTTAAGTGTTAAGTGTCCCGGGGACATTTTTTTCCAGTTACATTTTGATGAATAAAGTGAGCTGGCATCTAGAATTAATTAACATTTTAAAGGGTATTCTTATCCTCCTTGCCTTGAGCCCTAAAGAACTCCAGACTCAAGTTAGGACAGTTTCAAATAAAACAAAGCAGGGTGGGGAAAGTTAGAGCTCCAAAACTATAATTTGCCAGTGTCAAACCGTAGGAAGAAGGTTGACAATTCGGTGCCTGGTACCTAGTACTTCTACTGTTTGTTGAATGAATGAGAAAACAGATGAATGAATACACTGATGAGAAATAAAATAAATGAAGAGGTCTATTTAGGCTACCCACCCTTCTATTTGTTGTTGCCCATATGGTTAGTTATTTGTTAGAGAGACAGTTTACCAAGATTTGTATCTTTAAGGAACTTGAAACTAATTGCACCCATTCATCAATTACTTATTGAGCACAAGCTTTGCTTGCATAAGCTTAAATACTAAGTATTTAAGATTTAAAATGTAGTAAACAAGCCATGCCATACAGATGTTGGGACAATCGGACACCAATTACAATGAATTATACAACTGGTCGCCAGTTATACAGATTCCAGTGTTGGTGTCTTGTCCTCCAGTAAATCATGATTAGAGAGACGAGAGTGCACCCCAATTATATGCCACATACAACTGATTTTTAATATGTTAAAGGATTTATCAGGGAAGGTTAGAGTTTGGGAAGGTTAGGGTTTGGGATTTATCCAAAAGGAAAGAGATTTTCCAGCTGAAGAGAACAGTCTGAGTAAAAACAAAAGATGGGAATTCACAAGTCTTGGACAGGTGGCATTTTGAACACTCGGATAAAAAGTAGTCCAGAAACGACAATTTTACTATTATTGGAGAGCGCAAGGTCCAGAACACAGTAAGGAAAAGTGTCTGGAATTTTCCTGCCACGGGGACATTGCAACAGACACCTACTGCGATCCATTAGCGATGAATATAAACAGAATTCTGGTTTTCGGAATGAGAGGTAAATATTACACTGGTAATGAGACCGTTTTTTCTTTCTGTGTCAGATTCTTAAGGATAAAAAGTTGATAAAGAAAATAGAAAGCTGGAGAACACGAACACGAGAACATTATAAACACGATATAGAAGCAACCACTTGGGGGCGCCAGAATAAATTTCTTCCTTTAGGATGGCAGGCGGCAGACGACTACATCGGCTCGTTGGTCTAGGGGTATGATTCTCGCTTAGGGTGCGAGAGGTCCCGGGTTCAAATCCCGGACGAGCCCTCTTTTCGCTTTCCTTGATGAATTTAAATATCTGGATCTGGATTTTAGAATGGAGCAATCCACGTAAGAAGTTTATGTTGGTCCGAACACAAAATTGAGGTTTTTGTTTTTTTTTTTAACACTGCCCCCAATATCACTAAAAGACCACGTGAAAACGTAGAAAGTTTGAGGACACTGTAACCCTGGAAACGCTGTCCCCTGCGAGCGTCGGAGTCGCGCGCGTGTGCGAGGGACGCAGGGTTCCGTCTGCGTCGCCCGCAGGTGCGGTTTGCACACGCCGCACGTCCCGCCGGCGGCCGGGCGGGAGCGTCCGCACGGGAGGCGCGGGGGCGGCCCGGCGGGGGCTCCGCGCCCTGCGCACGTGCGGGGCGCCGGGGGGCGCGGGGGGCCAGGCGCCTCTCCCCGCCCCGCGCCGCCGTCAGCAGGGAACCGCGGTCCCGCCCCGCGCTCGCCGACGCACCGCGGCCATTTGGTACGAATGGATCCCGCTCGATTTCTGGCTTCGCAGTATCGGGGGAAGCAACACTCGAGCCCGGGCGCCCAGAGTCCTCTGTCGTGCAAGTCTCTGCACGCGCCGCGTGGGTAAGAAAAGAGACGGGGGAGGGTGACGTGCGCAGAGACAGAAAGAAAAGCCTGGGCTCGTCCGGGATTTGAACCCGGGACCTCTCGCACCCGAAGCGAGAATCATACCCCTAGACCAACGAGCCACTCTCGGCAGAGCGGGTCCCGGCGCCTCCCTTCAGCCTCGCCCCGCCTCTCGGCGCCCTTCCCGCGACCCAACTTGCGACCCTTCTCGCACCCCCTGGCCGTGCACCCCGCAGCGGGGCGCCCCGGGGTCCCTCTCGCCTCGGCGAGGCCACCCAGCGCCCGGGGCCACGCCGCACACGGCGCGTGCGGGAGTCGCGGCCGGGAGGGTGCGGGGCGCCCCCGGGTGCCCGCCGCCCAGCGTCTCGCCGCCGCCAGGGCGCGCTGGTCTCAGGCCCCCGCCCGCCCCTCGGACGGCGGCCCGCGGCTGAAAGCAGGCGGCGGAGCGGGCGCGGCAGAACCGCGGCGGAGGGCGAGGAGCTAACTGTCCCAGCGCTGTTCACGGGCCCCGCAGGCGCGGGGCTCGCGGGGCGCCCGGCGGAGGGGGGCGGGGGCGACAGGCGCCCCGGCGGCGGCTGCGGGAGCCGCGAGTACCGCCTGCCCGGGCGCCCCCTGCGGCGGGCGGGCGGGGCCTCGCCTCCTCCCGCCCCGCCCCCTGGCGCCACGGCCCCAGAGCCCCGCCCCCGGCGCCACGGCCCCAGCGCCCCCTCTCCCCCTCCGGCGCCCCGGCGCCCCGCCCCCAGCGCACCTTCCCCCCCCCCCCGCGCCCCGGCCCCAGCGCCCCGCGCCCCGCCCCCCGCCCTTTCCAGGGCTGCGCAGGGCCAGTCGCCCGCTTCCAGCTTCTCGGACCCCAAGCTTCCTTTGAGTCGGGGTCCGTGGCAGCCGTTGCTTCGTGGCCGTCGGCTCTCCGAGGAGCCAGTGTTCTTGCCCCTTCACCCTTCGGAAGCTCCCCGCTTGCCTCAGCTTCCCTGCTCTCGCCCTGTCGCTTCCTCCTGGGGCCCCGCGGGCTCTTGGGGTGTCTCTGTGACGGAAGGTCAGGACCTGCGCCCACGCCCTTGGCGGAGGGGGGGGGCACAAGTGGAAAGCCCTCAATCAAGGAGCAAAACTGAAGAGATTTGGTTATGAAAAGGATAACGAAATCTGGCCCGTGGCGATCCCAGAGTCCCGCCGCCCCCGGAGTGGGGGGACCTGGCCAGGAGCGCTGCCGGCCAAGCCCTCTATTTGCTCTATTTAACGACACCCCCTTGTCGCTGAGACAGGGTGTCCTCCTACTGAGCCAAGGTTTCAGAGCTTCGAACTCCTTTGTAGTTTGAGGATGGGTTCGGGGTGCGGTGGGTTCAGGGGTGAGCGCGGGGCGGAAGGAGCCCTCCCCTGGGGGTTCGCGGGGCCCACGCCGCCCCTCCTCCCAGGGAGATGAGGCTGGGGCCGCCCCTGCCCGTGCCCCAGGTCATTGTGGGGCTTCCCTCGCCTGCTCTCTCGTCCCTCACGTTGTGTGACGACTTCGGACGGTTCCATCCAGACGGTACGGGCCCATCCCCCCTCTTCCGTCAGGAGCCCTGAGTGGTGTCCAGCCTCTCACCCGTGTGAGCGTTAACTTGACGCATCTGCGGTGTGTCTGCCTTTTCCATATTTTTAGGTGATTCCCTGACATCACGTGATACGGTCAAAGGAGGTGACCGTTTTTGTACTTCGACCACTTCGATGGCTCTTGATGCAATTCCACGGCGACGAGCTTGGCTTGGCCCGTTAGCAAGTTAGACGGACACTGGCTCGGAAGAGGTTCTCGGAGAGCTCGGAACCCCACGCTCTGGTATTTTAATTTTACTTAAGGGATTTGGTGGCAGCAAAGCTTTCTGAGAATGGCGGTGACGTTTTGACTTGGGGTCAGATGCATGAGAGGAAGATGGTGAGATTCGAGTAGGTCCGTTGAGGGATGATTCGAATCGCCCTGGGATGATGTCAGCGTTGATGCCTCGAACCTGCGAATGGCCTTAAAAAGCACTTAAGTTCCTATTTTGTAATTAACGTTTGCATGCTTCTGAGTTCGGGCCCAATCTAGCCCTGAGTGGTGCAGGCTCAGTTCTGACATGATGAGGTTAGTCTTTGGAAATGAGAGCACAATTTAATCACACGGGCCCGCCCTTCGGAGGAACCTTCCCGCTAACCAGGCACACAGGACACAGGACGGGACTTCGACGGGGTGCGCTGAGCCTTCTGTGCTGCCGGTGAGGCTAGGCACCCAGTGCCTCTCAGGCCACCGCGGTTGTCAGAACTGGCGGATGTGCCTCCCCACTCCGGGTCATGTCCTGATCCAAACAGAAACTTGAATCTGCTTGCAAATGCGCATCTTCTTCCAGACTCCAGTCCAATATCCTGTAACAGCTTCAGCTCCTTTTTACTAAAAACATTTCTATGTTTCTATGTGGTTTCCCTCAGTGGCTCCTTGTCTGAGGTTTATCTCATGCCTTCCTCTGAATTTTGCAGTCCCTGAATCATCAGAAACGAATCTCTGGAGCTGCCTCCACCTGAAAGGTTTCATTCCAAAGTTTTCACTGGATTTGAGGTCTGAGAAGGTGATAGAAATCTCAGGTCTAGGTTGTGAAAGAACCGTTTTCAGCCAGAGCACCATTTCCACTGGTGCCGCTTATTTTCCTTCTGTTTTATACAGACTTGGTCTCGCTCTGGAGCTTATTGGCTGAACAGAAGACGACACAAGTGTATAGTTTTCATGAGCAAAAAGTGTGATTGTTCATGATCGTATGTTACAAAAAAGAAAGATACAAGACATATAGTAAGATCTTAATTTGTTACAACCAAGAATTAAAGCAAAAGTGTATATGCAGATTAACAAACTAGAAAAATCCATTAAAATCTAAATATGTGTTTTCTAGGTAGAGGGATTTTAAAGAACTTTTTACTTATTATTCTTTTCCTCCACATATTTTTTTTAAAATAGAGATGTACTTATTGCTTTTATAATGAGAAAAATAAGGCTAATGAATCTTGGAATCACAGAGGAACACAGAGGGCTTAATGCTTTCTTTGTGTTTGGTACAGGACAGGAGATACGGAATCGGAGGCAATGCAAAGCAGGCCCTTTGCTTTTTCATTCCAGCTGCTTCCAGGGGCAGCCCCAGTGAGGACGTGCCTGGCACCATGCCACACCCGTGGCTTCCTCACATAGTCCGGCAGGAGTGACTAGCGTTGCAGGTGCTATTCTTCTGAGTGCCAGCCACGTACAGTCATTCTAGGGTCTCGTTAAAGGGTCTGCCTGAAGTGCGATCCAGCCCCTCATTCTTTTAAAAAAGAAGTTGAGTGTGAGAACTGACATGACGGGCTTGCCTACATTCAAGTACTGTTCTCAAATATCTTTGTGAAACTACACCGTGAAAGGCCTGAGTCATACCTTACTGAAGTCCCCAGGGGGACCCTTGCTCATTTCACCCCCTTCCTTCTGCTTCCTGGGCCCCTCCGGGCATCTCCCTGGCAGTGCCGGGACCAGGGCGTTGCAGCGCCCACGGAGAAGCCCACAACTTGCCAGGATTAGAAGGAATAAGAGGTCTTTCTGCTCCTGTTTCTGCGGTGGGTGGATTTGCCCTTGGGGCTCCCTTTTCACTGAGAGGCATAAAACACACTCGTGGTCTCCTCCTCTGTGGAGTCTCCGCGAGCCACGGTCTCCCGCCCCGCTGACCACCGCGGGGCCTCTCCCAAATCCCACAGCTCTCCTGGGACTTGAGGCAGAGCTGGAACAAAGGTCTTCTCAGCAACCATCGCCACTCAGGTCAGGATGTCCCTGGGCTGGACCGGGACCTGGGTTACCCCTGGCAATGTCGGGGGGTCAGGGAGTCTCTGCCCCTAGACTTTTCAGTACCTTGCTCTTCCCTTTCAACCCCATCTGGGGAGGAGGTCAAGAACCAACTCAACCCAACGTGTGGTGACAAAGGAGGCTGAAACTATTACCTCTCTCAGGACATGCCGTTTGGGGAAGAAGACTGAAGCCAGTGAAGTGGGGGCTGATCACGACATTGCCGGCATCTGGTATCAGATAAGGGAGGTGTTGGGTGGCAGTGGATGTTGAAAATAATCCTACTCCAGCTCTGAAATCAGTTTATTCATTCATCACTTAACAAATATTTATTGAGCACCTATAGTGCATGAGGCACTGTGCATAACGAACAATACAGACAGCGTCTTCACCCTCAGGGAGCTCCAGCTTAGCTCTGGACAAGCAATACATTACTCCATGAAATCAGGAGACTGACTTCCGTTGGTGGCTTATGAAGACAAATTCCATTTTATTTGAGTAGCACTTGCATTTTGCTCAGTGGTCTTGATATCTTCAGAAGTCACCTGCTCACACATCATACAGGAGCATTCTCTTCATGCTATTTTACCTGGTCCATAGAGCATGAAGTTGATTTTAAAAATTTTAATTTTTTAGTAAACAATGGAATAGGAGTTTGGTGTGTCTGGGATTTCCCTATTGGACACATCTGGCGTGTGTGTGTGTCGCGCACACACCTACCCAGCATAGTTTCCGGTAACAGCGCCCCATTTGACACCTGTTGTTCCCATTGCCGATTGCACAGGATTGACCCTTAGCTCCCGGCAGGGGCCGGGGGGAGGGGGGTGTCAGGTGACCCAGGCCTGGCCAATCTGATCTCTGCATCTCCTCGATCATAAAGACTAGTTCAGGTATGAACATGTGACCCACAGGCGTCCACACAAAACCTTTGCAGGCTTTCCCCCCAGTGTTATTGGAAAAGAGTACTCTCTTTCTGATTGGTTTGCAGGCTGTGAAGAGCCCGCTTGGGAGTGTGGCCAACGCAGAGGAACGCAGAGACCAAGAATGAGAGGTTTCTGATACTGCTTCAGAGTTGCATTAGGTCTATGCATGGATTTTTAACTCACGTTATTCGGTGTATTTTGGAGAGAGAGAGAGAAGGGCAGAGGGAGAGAGGGAGATGGATTCATAGTTTTCTGTTTTTCATCAGCCGATTTGAGTGGGTTTCTTTCATTAGCAACTGAAGGTCCTCATTCATTCAACTGTATGAAATTATTACACTCCAAGAGTATTTATTCACAAGAAGATGATGAACTGGTTGCCTGTCCACTAATTTCTTCCTTTTGTTGGACACGTACTTATCGTCTCGCCTACTGGCCACAGGCCCAAACCGGCACGGTTCACGGTGACCTCGGCGAGCAGCGCGGAGTGCCCAGGCCGCGGGCGTCTCGTGGCCATGTGGCCATTGTGTGCCGCTGAAGCAGCGTAGCAGCCCCCACCCAATACTGGCACACCCCTTCAGAGCGCCCCGGGGCTTCCCCTTGCTCCGGTTCTGGAGAAAGGAAAGACAGTGTGAAGTTCCGGCTGGATGACAAAGGCACAAGGGAGTGACTCTGCCCCTTTCGTTAGCCTTGTGGCTGATACAGAATCCATTTTTCTTTCAAGCCTTTCCTTCAGGGAAGCCTGAAGGAGACAAAATCTTCCCGGCCCGGTGAGGACTTTGCACCACCTAAGACACGCATGGATCCCTTTGATCCTCAACTTTGAAATCCCAGATCTGCAAATGCCACACATCGTCACGGCTGCTTCGCGAAGGACAGTGATAAACAGCCGGCCCGGCCCCATGGCAGGAGCCGAGGCTCCCGCGCGTCATGAACTCCCTGCCAAGGGTCCCCATCACTAACAACCTCTGGGAATAGGGCCTCTGTTTTCTCACAAAATAGATCCAGAAATGTGTCTAATGAGGAACCGGGCAGATAGGAAGGTATTCTGACCCCATGACACCCGTTCCCTGTGTCACATTCTTGTCGTATTGCATTGCTCCTTACTCACCTGCTACTGTAAGGTGTAGCCACTCCAGACAGAAAGTTTCATCTTCACATCTATATCCCAAGCTTTCTGTTCCACTCCTTTTTCAAGTAAAGTGGCAGATGTCCCCTTTATGACACACATGCTCATAGCCGTGCACACATTCACTAAACTCTGGCTTGAATATGCGTGTGTGTAGAAACAACACAAACCCATATAGAACTGTTTGTATATCTCTGTTGATAGATGATAGATAGATGAAGGATAGATATGGAGGGAGGGAGGGAGGGATGGAAAGATGGATGGATGGATGGATGGATGGATGGATAGATACACATTAACAGACTTCAAGTTAACTGAAACACACATCTCTCTAAAATTCTGCTAAAACATAAAACTAATATTGGGCTTGACTATGTTACAAGTTTTCGAAGACGCATGTATTTAAAAATAGTTTTGAAAAAGTATATATCCCGAGTATGAACACTATTCTGGCATTAGGAAAACGGTCATGGATGAGAACTTTGAGGTCCCAGCAGTGACATAAGGCCCTCTGTCCAGAGGACTGTGTCTGAGTCAGGGTAGGAGGTGGTCTCACAGACCCCCAGGAAAACAGCTGCTCCACCTACCTCATTAGCACGACGAGACCCTGAAGTACTCAAATCTGAGTTGAGAACCGACCCTAAGGATCACTTCTTTGGACTGGCATCTTTGGGTGGCAGTGCATCAAGAGGGGACAGGGTATTGGTCAATGAACAGGGAGTCAGGCCCCTGTTCCTTGCAAACCCCCCCCCCCCCCCGCCCTTTCCACAAAGAAAAAGCGAAAGCTACCCAGTGAGAACAGACAGAAGACCCAACCGTCCTGAGTCTGGAAAGAGAGCCTGGGCTTTGATTCAAGAGCAGCTTCCCAGGGACTCTGGGAAGGATGTGTTTGTTATGTACCTTTCAAAACGTGCCGCTTTGAGCGAGAAAGATCTCCTTCTGAAAGTGCGAATCTCCCCCTCCCAGGACAAGTCAGAGGGCAGGCATGGTTAAGGTGCCCTCGCTCTGCACGGAGCCAATGGGGCGCCCAGAGCCGTGAAACCTCAGGACATCTGCCTCGCCATGAGATTTGCTCCCTGCCCCACCTCCTCGTCCCTGGCAGAAGAGGGAGGGCTGACCTGTCACCTCCCAGTGTGCCATCAACCAGAAAACTACCCAAAGTAAAAGCTCCCGTGGCTGGAACAGATACCCATTTTTTAATGCTGCAATAAGTATCTCTTTCCAGTCCAAGCTTTTAAAAACTGGCTGGCCAGTTCCAACTTGGATGAAGCTGAGAGACTGTCTCGGGGTCTGGCTGCAATTGAAGGTCTTCGTAACTTACAGGACTTGTTTCCAGCAACACGAGGCTCTTCTGTTCCCAGCCACCAGAATTCGTTTGTACATACATCTGCGAATCGCAAAAACTCCCAAACAGTACAAAGGCTATCACTTTACACAAACAAAATTGGATAAGCTAAATCAGAATCCAGTTCCGAGGCAGGTGGGTGTGGCTGGGACGCAGGCCCCACCCTTGACCAGCGGGGTTCCTGGGAGCTGCCACCACAGTAAATTGTTTTAAATAATTTTGTTTGTTTTTAACCAGGTCCATCCAGTGACACAAACTCAAGCTGATACGAGGCTCCTGCCCTCGGCTGGTCTCTGTGAGGGAGGGTTCGGCATGGAGACCTGGAAATGACACACTCTGTCTTCCGGCTGCCTCCGACCCTGCGCGGGATTCTGCTTCGGCGATGGCTGCATTTGCTGCTGCTACTGTTGCTGCTACTTCTAGAGAGAGGTCTCCAGCAGCTTTGTCACTAGGCACAAAGCTGCTCACATCTTAGTGTCCTGGACAGGAGTGTCACCCTGTGAACAGCGGAGGAAAGAATGAGTTAGGAAGAGAGTGTGGTAAATCCTGACACTTGGCAGATTTCCGCGGGGAGGCCAGATCCAGCAATAAGTATAACACCGGTAGAAGTGACGGTAACGATAACGGCATGTGCCTGATATAGTGTTTGTTTGTTTTTACAAGCATCAACCCATGTGTTCTTCATAAAACAGTATGAGTTAGGTACTTCCTTTAGCTCTGTTCTACAGGTGGGGCAATTAAGGCACAGAAAGGTCAAGTGACTTCTACTAGGTCACACAGCTAGGAAGTCATGGAGTCAGGATTCAAAACCAAGGACCAGAGCCTGAACCCTCCACTATTCGGTGACATTGCCTATTCCTTGACGCCTGGCTTCCCACGTCCTTCCTGCCCTAGCTTCTTATCTACAAATTCATTCCCACTCCGTTTCATCTCTGTTACACTGCTCCAAAATCTTTGGTGGCATAAAATGCAAAAAGAATGGAAAAAATCGAAAACAGAAGACAGATACTTAAGTTAATAGGGCAGGAAAACAGTTATTTATTCAACATTTATCCCAAAGTACTACTTTTAGCTCCTTCTGGGATGAGCTGCACCAGGCCTGACCGCCAGGAGTTCTCTGGTTGAGAAAGAGGCATTTATGAATGCGCCCAAGCGCCAGGTGGCATGCGCTGTGGGCCCCGGAACGCACTACGCTGAGTGTGCGGTGGCCCCGGGTCTCTGGGGGTGTTTGGCACTGGGGCAGTCGGGGAGGGCCTATGGAAGGCCGAGGTTCGGCGGGAGGATTTCCAGCAGCAGTGAAGGAAATCCCAGTTGGGGGCGCAGGGGATGGAGGACGCATTGCGCCTTGTGGAATGGGGGGTGCTGTGCGCCCCATCACGGGGGAAAGGGGAAGACTCAGCATGCTGAGCGGGGTGCTCTCAGGTGGAATCAAAGGTTTCGGGGGAGGAGAGTAGCCACCGAGACAGCGTTTCCGGGATGATGGATCTGGCGCTAACGTATAGGCTGGGTCTGGAGCCCAGGAATTCCATCAGGACTGGGTGGGGATTGTAGAGCTAAGGGCGGGCAGCGCTGGGGCCACAGCAGAGCTGCCGGACAAGGAGGGACAGTGGAAGGCACTAAATAGGAAAGTCCCCAAGACCCGGGGAGCGGCGAGGCAGGGAGGTGGGAGAAATGGAAGCACCTCATTAGCACAAACGCCTAAGGGTAACAAGGGAATCTGGGGTTCAGGCGGAAGACACCGGAAGACACGGCAGGCAGGACTGGTTCGGTCCTGAGTGCGGGCGGCTGGCAGGCATCCAGGCGCCCGGCCAGCTGGGGCTGGGACATGGGGCCTGCAGGTGAGGTCCAACCCTAGGGGTCAGTCACAAAACACACAGCCGGAGCGTGGGAGCCGGGGCTGAGGACAGAATGTGGGGGTCTTCTTCAGGATGGGAGGCGGGAGGGAGGCTGGCCGGGTGGCCCTGTGCTGGCAGAGAGACGGGAGGGAGGCGGCGTCAGGGGCGGGTCGCCAGCGTCAGCCCCTTGGCGGAGGTGGGGATGACCAGTCTTTGGTGGCACCTGTGAGCTTCAATTCTTAGTGAGAAGCGAGATCACAAGGGGAAGCAAACGAGAGGAGACAGAGGGATAGGGGAGGGGCTGCGGGGAGCTGAGCAGGCCTGGAGGGAGGGGGGGGGGCTAGAAACCCGGAACACGTGGATGGAGGGGAGATCCCGAGGGTAAGCCCTCCCTAAACTGCAGACACACTCTGTAAGTGTCCTGTAAAAATGTCTGGGAAGTGGTATTGGGGGGAAGCCAGATCACAGCAGGTGGGGGTGTGTCTCAGCAAGGGGGGGGCCTGTTCCCGGATTCACGCTCCCAGGGTCTGAGGCAGGCAGGGCTCTGGCTGCTCTTCCCTTCAGACCCCCGGGAGGGGAGGTCATTTGCAGAGCGGGAGGGGCCGAGGGAGGGGTGACCAGCAATGTGGGTGTAAACAGGCTGACGGGTGCAGGAGGAGGGTGTCCAGGCAGCTGGGAAGATGGATGTGGCTCAGCCCGGCTGTAAGAGTTCCCAGTAGACCCAGGCGGCATGGCTTTGTCAAGTCCACCAATGACACGCAGGAGGCGTGGCAAAGAAGGTGCGGCGACAGTTAAGCTTTGCAGATTGAGAGAGAGAGCAGGTCAATGGGAAGGGGGCAGTGAGGGGGCGCCCAGGTGGCTCAGTCGGTTGAGCATCCGACTCTTGATTTCGGCTCAGGTCATGACCCCAGGGTTGTGGGATCGAGCCCCAGTGAGGAGCCTGCTTAAGATTCTCTTTCCCTCTGCCTCTCTCCCCCACTCGTGTGCGTTCTCTAAAATATTTTTTTTAATTTTAGAAAAATAATAAATAAAACGAGGGCGACGAAGGTGCAGGGTAGCACTGAGGTGCCGGCCACGGGCCGGGTCCCCGCGCCCGCCCTGGGTGCTCAGTGTAGAACAGGTTGGAGGCTGAGGGCAGGGCTGAGGAGGGAAAGCAGAGGAGTGTGTTCCCAAGAGAAGTGCAGAGACACAGGCCAAGAACTGAGGCTCAGAGACCCGCCCACTTGACCGGGAGGGACAAGTTAGCAAGTTATAGGGGCAGGGGAGGCCCAGGGGCAGGTGGTATCTCCTCAGCTGAGGGAGAAGGAATTTTCAGTCCAAACACTGAGAATCCCAGGAGAGCGCCTGGGAAGAGCAGCGGAGCCAGGCAGTCAGGAAGCCGCACTTCCCGCCGGCCCTACGAAGTCTTAAGTGCTGTCGACTGTCTTGGGTGTCGCCGCTGGGTACGTTTACCTCTGGCATCGCCTGCGCGCCCTGTGCGGCACTGCGTCCGGACCGAGCGTCTGGGAACACGTGCTCCGTGGGCTCAGGGTGGGAGTCGATGGGGCTCAGCGCCCTCATTCCGGGGCACTCTCCCAGCAACACAATCCCGAGTGCTGTGCTCGGATGCAGCCGGCCTGCTCCAGGACGGAAGGTCCCAGAACAGCTCATTCTTTAAGCACCAAGTGTTAAAATACTCGTGAGGGGCTGTGTCACAGGCAGCTAAGCCTCCACAGAGCTGGGGCCTCGGGCCTACGGAGGCGGCCTCTCCCCGCTCTCTCAGAGGGGTCGCTCCGTCCTCTGTGCCTCACCGAGTGCTGCCGCCCCGGAGGGCCCCAATGCCTGTGGGTGCTGTTCACCTCTGTCTTCTCTGTCATCGTTACTGAGGGAGAAGCGAGGGTGGGAGTCAAGGGGCCTCCCAGGATAAGGAACCTGCGACGCACAGAGATGCGGCGTGACAGGGCGCACTCTGATGACTACAGCTGGTGTCCTTCGTGTCAACACTGAGCTCAGTGACCTTGGACAACTCATGTCCCCTCTTGGAACCTCTGCTCCTTCCTCTCTAAAACTAGGGGGTGGGATGAAGGGTCAAAGTGTTGTGCCTCGGCAACAGGTCAGGAGGGGAAAGGATGGAGAGGTGCGGAGGGGGGGGGGGCTACTCTCTGCGACCCAGGCTCTGGTCTGGAAGAAGAGTGCTCCTGCGGGTGCGGGCCTCGGCTCCCTGGCCAGGGCTGTCCGACGGGGGGTACGCAGGTGACCCGAGAGGTTCCAGGTGAGCCTGAGCCAAAGCGCCCAGAGTTCCTGCAGGAAACCTCTACCTGAGACTCCCTGAAGCTCTTCCCCCGAGGTGACTTCCTAACCCTTCAAGACCAGAAGATGCTGCCAGTGAGACAGGAAGCTCTCCTGGTAAGACGGCCACCTCCGGGCCTGAAAATAAGATGTAGCAGCCATGGGCAGGTGAGCCCGTGGACTCAGTGGCCTCACTGTCAAAAAGAAGTGAGGATGTGCAGGGAGCGCCTGGGTGTCCGCCTTTGGTTTAGTTCATGACCTCACTGTTCATGAGTTCGAGCCTTGCATCAGGCTCTCTGCTGTCAGCTTGGAGCCTGCTTTGGACCCTCCGTCCCTCTCTCTCTGCCCCTCCTGTGCTTACACACACACTCTCTCAAAATGAATAAGCATTAAAAAAAAAAAAAGAAAGTGAGGATCTGAGGCATGTGTTTGCTTCTGGACACCCGGTGACGATCCCCTGCTGACAGGACCAGATCCTGCATCTAGAACAGATGGTGGTGGAGAAACGTGAAGCATCTTTATCTGACAGCCCAGCCGTGGACGCTCAGTCCCGCCTCAAGAGCCTTTGGGACTCATGCCTTCTTCTCTCCAGCCTAGTTTGAGTGGGAATAAGGCGAGGGTCCCTGGTGAGTTCTCCCACCCCCAAACACATCAATCCCTCTTATGTGTCTACTGGTGTCATTCAAGGCTATTTCTTTTGCATCAAGCAGTTTTCTCACTTCTAAAAATTGATTTGTTCACTCAACAAATATATTTTTTAAGAGCTACAATGTTCTGGGTTCAGAAGCAAGTGCTGGGAATCAGTGAGGGGGGAAAAGTAGAAAGAGATGATGAGAAAATAAATAAGAGCGTATCAAACAGTGCTGTGCACCCTGATGGCAGAGTGGAATAGCGGGTGAGGGTGGCCAAGTGGTCAAGACGGGCCCGAGGGACATCTGAGGGGTGGGTGGGAGGCTCCCAGGCGGATGACAGCCGGGACAGCGCTCTGAGCGGGAGTGAGCTTGGTCTAGTGAAGAACAAAATAACCACTGACGTGGCTAAAGCACAGTGAGGGAAGGAGCAGGGACGCCTGAGAGCAGCTGCCCCTCACGCAGGGCTCACGGAGGGTCCGGGCTTCGTGCACCAGGAGCCGTGGGTCAGGGGGCGGCAGGCACAGCGGGCCGCGTACCCAAGGACACGTCCGGTCCCAGCCCCCAGTGCCTGCGAACGCGGCCTTACTTGAAACTGATCTTTGCTGATGTGATTAAAGGTGGATTTAGGGTGGGTCCTACGGCCAGTGACCAGTGTCCTTCTGAGAGAGAGGAGGAGGTTTGGGGACGCACAGAGCCAGGCAAGACCCCTTGAGGACAGAGGCAGAGATCAGAGTGACGTGTCTAGAAGCCGGGGAAAGCTGAGGATTGCTCACGGCTGCCAGATGCTGGGAGAGGCCAGGAGGGGCCCCAGGGTTGCCAGCGGCCATCAGAAGCTAGGGGACGGGCACGGGACAGGGCGCCCCCCGAGCCTCCAGTGGGAGCCAACACTGCCCACACCTCCAGAACTGTGGGAAAATACAGTTCTATGGACTTAAGTTCCCAAGCCTGTGGTGATTTGCTACGGCAGCCCCGGGAGACGAATACAGGAGGGGAGTGAGTAGATGCTTAGCCAGGAGCAGATGGTCTACACACACGTGCACGCGGTTTCTCCTCTGCTTGAGCTCTGCGCTTCCCCGGGAGAACCCCCTGCCCCCCGCCGCCCTCTTCAGCGCGCCCTGAAGAGCGGCAGGTCCCCCACGCTCGCCTGAGCTGACGGACCCTTCATGTCTGAGTCCAGGGCCCTGCCTCAGTCTCCACACGCACCCAGAGCACAACAGACCTCCGAGTGGGCAGGAAGGCGGAGACAGCACGAGACTGTCCCCTCACCATCTGCAACGGCCCGTCTCCGCCCAGTGCCTGTGCCCCTGCACGCGAGCGCCCGCCCGTTCTCCAGGAGTGTGAGCAGCCCCGCCCGCCCCGGCAGGTGAACGCGCCGGCCACTCACCTCGGTCTCGGGGGCCGCGCTGGGGCTGCAGCCTGGCTCCGGAACGGCCCCCTCCTCGGCCTTCCCCTGCTCGCCCTCTGCTCCCCCGGGGGGGCTCGGCGGGGCCTCCCCGGGCGCCTCCCCCGCCAGCGGCGTGGTGTCTGGGCTCCTCGGCCCCGGCTCATCCTCTCCGTTTCCTGCCCCCTCCTCCTCCACCTCCGCAGGCTCTTCCGGCTGCGCTCCGGCTGCTTTCTCCTCTGTGGGGCTCCCGCGCCCGTTGGCGGCCTCCTGGGCCGGCTGAGCCGCCTCCTCGCCAGAGCCCCCCACGGCCTCCTGGGGGTGCTGGGCGTCCTCCGGGGCCCGGCCCTTCTCCTCCTGCTTCTCGGTCCTGCTGGACGGCCTCCTCAGAGGCGGCTTCTCCTGGGACCCCAGCTCCCCTGCCGGCCCCTCGCTGGGCAGCGGGGACCCCGGGGCCTTGCTCTTGGCTGGGAACACGTCATCCCCATTCTCTTCCTTGGCACCATTCTCCTGGGAAGACTCGGGGGCCCTGAAACCTCCCAGGTCCCCACAGTCCGACTGAGACCTTCGGAACCGCCTGGAGGGGGGGCGCCTTTTTATCGAGCCCCTCGTCCGCACCTGGGGGAACGCACAGAGAAACATCACCCACAGCCTGTAAGGAGGCCCAGAGGCTGTCAAAGGTCATTTGACTTCCCAGGAGATACCCCGTGTGCTGGGGCCCTGGGGGGGGGGCGTGAAAGCACATAGTAACCCGTAAATTTCTGTCTCATGAAAACACAAATGCTCTCCGTCCACTAAAAATGATAACCTCTAATTTTATTATCCTGTGAAACATCCATCAGTTTGGTGTCTGACTTGCCAATTTGATTCTAACATTTGTTTTTTCAATTGCCTGTAAATAACCAGTTGTTCGAATGTTCTTTGAACGAGCTTTACCCTCTAATAGGTTTCCCCATAAACTGACAAACTGAAAATACTCTCTCTCTACTGTAAGCAAGAGTCCTATTTTAGCATTTAGGAAGTTATACTTTGACAAAGGCGAACCCAACAGAGAAGAGGGTTAGGGGCCTGCAGATGGCCTGGCCTGGCCGGGGCCCTCACGGGGACACCGCTGGACAGCTGGTGACCAGCTTCGCCCCTCTCCCGGTGTGGCCCTCGGCCCTCCCGGAGTTGGCCAATGCCAGATTGTCGAGCAGTCAGATGCCTTTGCTTCCCCGGGGCCGGGCCCTCCGTGAGCGGAAGCCGTGCCTCGGAAGCGTCCAGCACAGCTGCCGGGAGACCCTCTCCTCTCTGGGATCGTGCAGGCCTCGGCCAGGCCCACCAGACTTGGCCCCAAGTTCAATAGAAATGTTTATTTGGAGGCCCTACTTTATTCACGTGATGGGTCCTTTAAAATTATTTATAGACAAAATCTTATTTTTATAAACCTTAAATCTTATTTTCCCACTGGCTTACACTTCAGTTATTTGTCAATTCTAGTTCCTTCTCAGAAATGTGGAGTCTGTACCTGGTGTACAAGGGCTTCCCAGGCCCTTTGCTGCGGCCCCACAGGCTGTCCAGGCCCAGCCCTCGTTATCAGAAGGATTCGTTCCCCCTGCTGTCGGAGGGCTAAAGCCCCCAGTATTACCACCAGGGGGCAGCACCCCCTCCCTGGCCCGACTCCCCAGCCTCCCTGGAGAGCACCTACGCAGAGACAAGGCTCTCCCCCGGGTTCCTCTCTGCCATCGGGGGTCTCTCCCTGGTCTCGCTCTGGGGGGAGGACCCTCCGAGCTGCCCCAGCCAGCAGGCTCCAGCCTTAGGGCCCGCTTGTTTCCCCAGGGCCCACCTGTTTCTACACACCGAGCTCTCCCCCAGATGGATCTTCCGGAATGGCCCAGGAGACCCCACTCTTTCCATCTGTAACTTTAAAGTTATATCCATTTGGCATCTCTTATGCTGGCCCTTGCCTGGCTCTGGCCCAGATTTGCGGGGGCCCTACAGGGGCTGTACTGGGCCGTATCCCCGATTCTTACTGTGGCGAGAGAAGGCAGAGGATCTGATGAAAGAAAGCGCACACAGCCACCAGGACAGTGTGGGCAGAAACGGGCCCGATGTACGGCTTTTTGCGGAGGGACAGTTGGGTGTTCTCTAACTGGGGCAAGCTTAGCCCACACCGGGTCACTCAGAAGTACTCATGTCAAGCCAGGACGGGCTGTTCCAGAGTCCCAGCGGCCTTGCCCACCCTCTGCACCAATCACTGATCAGGCCTTTAGCGTTTCTTTTCAGCTTGACACAACTCTCTGTGCAGCTGGGTTCGGTCGGGAATTCTCACCCCTCTCCATGGAGGACAGAGCATTCCACCCCACTGTGCCTTCTGGGCGAGCGGCGCAGCTACGGGGAGAGGGGCTGGCGGGCAGGCGAGGCAGCGGGGTTCTCGGTCACAGATCACCAGCAAGAGGAGGAATTTCCCTCCTGCTGAAAACCAGCTCCACCTGCAGCTCGAATATGTCCCCCTTTCCCCAAGGCAACACCAGGGCAGAGATGGTTCAGGACGCTGGGCGGAGCCACAGCGCTTGGACGCGGACGTTACCTTATTGTAGCAGGGCAGGTGGCTGCCCTCGGGGGGCTGGTCAAAGCTGACCGGCACCTCCTCCAGCTCGCCGGCCTGACTCCGCACGCCAGGGCTGCTGGGGGTGGACGGCGGGCTCTGGAACGGTGACACCACGGCCTTGAGTCCGGGACTCTTGGGGGAGGCGCCAGGCAACAGGGCTGCTGGGTCGAAAGCTAAGTTGGCCTGCCGAGAAAAGGTGACACATTTCAACCAGGGGTGGGACGGGATGGGCGCTTCTGCGTGAGCCTGCTGGGTGCCCGGCCTGGGGCTGCTCGGAACCCCGCAGTGAAGTGAGGCTTTTTGTGTTACTTCCTGACCAACCATCTGCTGTCACCTCAGGTCCCGTCCGTGGAAGCACTGCCTACCCAAGCCATCTTGGGCTACCTGGCTCACCACAGCCTGCACTCTAGAATGCTCCAGAATGCCCAGAAAGTACAGCTTTGGCTCCAACAACATCCTGGAACAGATCCAACTTACAAAGAAGCCAAAATGGCAGCCGCCAGCGCCCGCGGCGCACGGTCCCACAGCACGTCAGCGCCCTTCCTCCACCTGCTCAGCGGAGCGACAGCAGCCACTGCCGCCGGGTGCCTACGATTTGCTACAAGACTGTGCCGCCGGCTCTCGACAGCAGCCCCCCGTGCTCCCTTTTGTTCTCAGGGCTGCCCTGGGCTCCACGCCAGGTCTGCCGGTCTCTTCAGCCATGTTGGCAGTTGGCCAGACAGGCTGGGGGACACAGCAGGTTGCCCGGCCCTTCCAAGCGGGAGCCTGTGGGGCAGACACCAGCGTGTGCCGCTCCCCGGGCCACGGCGGGGCAGGTGAACCCAAATTCACATGCACCCAGAAGGCAACAGAGAGGCTACCCGAGGGTAACCGAAGCCGGAGGGAGCCAAGAGCTGGGCGGGCGTGGGGTGAGGCGGGTGCTCCCCGATGCACCTGTCCCAGCGGAGAAGGCCTGCGGCGTGGCTGCGGTCAGCACCGGGGCCTCTCTGCCGCCCTCACTGTCTCCAGACCCGGCCTGGCGTCCTCCTGCCGGGCACACAGCAGGGGGGACCCGCCCTCGCCAGGAAGGGACAGCGTGAGGGACAGACGGCACAGTGGGAAGTACAGGGGCCTCTCCACACACACAGACTTGACTGCAAAACTCAGATTTTTCACTTAATAGCTGCATGACCTCCAGGGAGTCCAATAAATAGCCTGAGTCTTGGACTCTTTATCTGTCCCAAGCGTTTGCCTGACGGCCTGAGTCCTTTGTGATCTGGTCCGTCGCACTCACTCCTGCCGCCACCCACTCATACTCCACGCTCCCCTCCTCCCTCATTGTCCCCTCGGTGCCCCCTCGGCTGGAAGAAATACTGACACTTATTTCTACTGTGATTTTAAAAAGGGCCCTACAGCAGGGGCACCTGGATGGCTCAGCTGGGTAAGTGTTGGGACTCTTGATTTCCACTCGCGTCATGATCTCTTGGTACATGAGTTTGAGCCCCGCATCGGGCTCTGCGCTGGCAGCACGGAGCCTACTTGGGATTCTCTCTCCCTCTGCCCCTCCCCGACTTGTTCTCTCTCTCAAAATAGATAGACTTTAAAAAAGAAAAGGCCTTATAACATGGACAAAACTGAGTCATGGTAAGAATTAAAACATAAAAGTTGCATAGCAATGCTGTGAGCCCAAGCCGTGTCAAAAAGCACCATATGGTGAGTGCCGGTGACAGGGCTTCAGGGCAGTGGACCCTTGGGTTGGGGGTTTAAGGAAGTCTCCCTCCCTGCCCAATTTCAAGCTGAAAAATTTCCTCTGTAAGACTGCTTGCAAATAAAATACATTTTGCTAGCTAGCGGGAAACTTGAACTTGGAATTATGGACTACTCCAGTGAAGAAAAACCATACCTCATAACTCATCTAATAGAATATTTAGAAGGCAAGTCTAGGTGATGATGCATTTCTTAGTTCTGGGCCCCCTCCTTCCCAACAAAGCAAGGGCTCCTATGGGATCCGGCCAAACTATCCTGTTGCTGACATTTTTCCTCTCTTTCTTTTAAAAGTAGGCTCCTGGGGCACCTGGGTGGTTAAGTGTCCAACTTTGGCTCAGGTCATGATCTCACAGTTCGTGGGTTCGAGCCCTGCATTGGGCTTTGTGCTCACAGCTAGCTCAGAGCCTGGAGCCTGCTTCAGATTCTGTCTCCCTCTCTCTCTGACCCTCCCCTGCTCACGCTCTCTCTCTTTCAGAAATAAATAAAAACCATAAAAAAAAAAAAAAGTAGGCTCCAGGACTCATGACCCTGAGATCAAGACCTGAGCTGAGATGGAACGTCTGATGCGTAACCGACTGAGCCACCCAGGCGCCCCCTGCTGCTGACGGTCAGAAGGACCAGTGATCACAACCTCACTCAGCGGCTGAGCTGCCCAGAGAGGCTCCTCACTGCCGGGAAAGGGGAAGGAGACCAAGACTGTGGGGCCTCAGAGCAGGTGGGAACCAATTCCCGGCACCCAGACGGGGGCTGAGGTGGGCTGCAGGGAAGCCAAGGTGCAGGTCCTGGGCTACACCCCTCAGCTGGTGGAGCATCTGGACCCCTGCTGAGAGACCCTCCTTATGCCCATGAGCTGGTTTCCTCAGCTGGGCCCAGACGGGAGGCTACAGTGCGCGAGAGCCTTGCTGTCCTGGGTGGTGCGCAGACCGGTGGAAGCCTTGCATCTCCCACAGGCCCTGTCCACACATGCCTCTGTCCTCTGCGCTCTGGCTCACGCTGTTCCCGCGCCAGCAGCACTTTCCTCCTTCCCTTCTAGCCACCCATCCTGGAGGACTGGTCCAGGGTCCAGGCGTCTCAGAAGCCACCGACTCACTGCCCCTGCCCGCTCGCTCTCTCCTTGCTCTACCATTCTTGAGCATGGCTCTCACCTGGGGTGGCAGTGGGGGCAGCCGCGTTCCCCGAGACACCTGGAGACGTCTTTCATCATCACAACTTGTTGGAGAGTGCTACTGGCATTGAGTGGGCGGGGCCCAGCGACGCTGCTAACATCCCGCCCTGCACAGGGCAGCACCCCGCCACAGAATTATCCTGCGCCAACAGTGCCCAGGCTGAGGACCCCCAATTTGGAGGAAGAGGAGCCCACACACAGCAAGTGCGCCATTTAGACCTCTGGGGTTCACGCTCCTTTACATCTCTTACTGTCCCATGTGTGACAATCCTGTGTCCCCCAAAAGGCTGTGAGCTCAAGTACACGGCCGCACGGTTCAGTTCCAGCCCCAGGAACGCCGGCCAGCTGTGGCTGCAATGGTGAGGGCTCTGGGTTCACAGGCTGACAGATGGAGAGGCAGGCACTCCGAACAACAGGTTTGGCCACGCCAAGGCAACGCCTAGCTGCTGAACCTCAGCACTGTGTAAAGCTGAGATGGTTCGTGGGGGCTTGGGAGGGAGGACTTGGCTAGTCCTAGAGTGTTTCTTGGGCTAAAATGTCTTTTTCCTCAAAGATTCTTGAGACATCCCATTACCCATCAACCGACTTTAGCTGTTAACTTCATGAGCTCATGCTTGATATGTTTACTTTAGCTCTTTTCCCCTAGACAGGAGTCCTCTTCCTTCACAGCTGGTTATCAGAGGTCAACCCTTCAGATGACAGATGGTGCTATCCCAGGAGCCCCAAAGACTTGTGCATGTTGGGTAAGAGGTGGGGTGGGGTCAGAAGTAGCAACGGGTAACCCTTCTGCACTTACCTGAAGCTTCTCAATCAGAGGCGAACTCTTCACCTTGAATTTAGGAGGGTGGCTTGCATTGGGCGGTGATTTCTATGGAGCAAATGGACCAATACAAAGGAATCAGTGAAATGAAGGGAGGGGGGGTTCTGGCTGGAGCCCTGAAGGTTCAGGTGAAAGAAGAGAAGTAGTTGATTTCACCGCTTACCCACTTAGCATCAGCAGCCCACTCACCTGGTCGGGGCCTGGGCGGGCTCCCCTCCACCCCTCCACCCCTCCCTCATCTCACAGCCTAAGACCACTTGAATCTATGAATCAGAACAGGCTGGACAGACAACTAAGACACAGGCGGTCTCCTGTTTCAGAAAGGATGACTTCATGGTCATTATGGGGCAACAGACGATGGCTGAGGGGATGAGACCTTGACCTCATGACCTTCAACAGCATGAGCCAACAACGGGAGGGAATTCCAAAGAGAAGGGGCAAAATGACTATCTCTTCTGTTTGTACAAACACCAGAAGAAACCACAGACCAAAGGTGAAACCTTACAGAAATATAACTGAAATTCCTCCCTTGAACTAATGATATTTTGGAAAAGCCAAACCACCAACAGTGTTATCTATAGATTATCATCTTCCAAAACATCGTTCATTTTGATTAAGCAGACATTTACTGGGTATCTGCTACGTTCCAGGCACTGTGTTGCCTGGTTATACAAAGATGAATGTGATTTAGTCTCTGGCCTCTAGAGGTGGTCAATGGCTGACACACACATTTAAAACCGTACGTATGGGGGCACCTGGGTGGCTCAGTTGGTTAAGTGTCTGACTTCAGCTCAGGTCATGATCTCATAGGTTGTGGGTTCGAGCCCCACATCAGGCTCTGTGCTGACAGGTCAGGGCCTGGAGCTGCTTCGGATTCTGTGTCTCCCTCTCTCTGTGCCCCTCCCTGGCTTGTGGTGTCTCTCTTGGTCTCTCAAAAATAAGTGTTAGGAGAAATTTAAAAATAAAAAACCATACGTGTGTTCTGCTAATTGAAGAGATCTTTGTGATGAACGTATGTCAGGGAACTTGTCTGTGTTTTACTTTATGAAAAAAGATGGGCCCCTTCTCGTTTTGTTCCCTGCAACTTGAGTCTGGCTCCACAGGCAGATGATGACGGTAACGATGGTGGTGGTGGTGACCCGAAGCCCCGGGTACTCACTTACCTGAATCACAGAAAGAAAACTCATCTCTTGGAAATATTCTGAGATACATACTGAGGGAGAAGATTGTATTTTAGTGATGGGAGAAAAAGGATTTACTCAACTGAACCCCTTGTGACCCTTCTAAGGCCCAACACTGAGGAAGAGGCACTGGAGGGGTGTGGTTCCCCCCTGGGACCCTGGCTCTGGCAGGAGCCAGATGGGCGCCCTGGCCTCAGCCCCCCGCCAACACCCAGGCAGGCAGGTTAGAGTAAGTGATTCTAAGGACCCCTGCAGCCCCAAGGCGCCTCTGGCTCCATGAGTTTACATCATCAGACATGCTCCAAGCAGTCTTGCAAGGAACCTTGTGTCGGTGACGAGTGCAAAGAGCTGTCAGCCCCAAATCAGTTGATTCCCGTGCTTTATGGTGAAATTTCACATGAGCCAGTATTTCTAAAGAGACTGTTGAAGGAAGTGCAGCAACGATTTTGCTGACACACCTCACTTTATGTAATACCAGAAACTCTTCTCTTCTCCAAACGACCACTATTTTTTTTTTTTTAAGTAGGCTTCACACCCAGCATGGAGCCCAACGCAGAGCCTTAACTCACGACCCCGAGATCAAGACCTGAGCTGAGATGAAGAGCTGGATGCTTAACCAGCTGGGCCATCCAGGCACCCCCTGACCACAACCTTCTGAAGAGAGTGGAAATTCAATAAATGCAGCCCTTTCACTATAGGACAGTGTGGGGAACCCAGCTCATGCTCCCCAAATCCTGGTTGGTTGGAATTGAGCAGCAAAGCAGGAAGACTCCGAAGCAGCTGCTGGTGCAGTTCCTAGGAATGGCAGCAGGTGGCAGCATCTCCTCTGCCTTGTAACACAGGACTCAGGCAGGTGGCTCGGCCTAATACCATCAAAGGAGAAAAACCAGCCTCAAGCTCTATGCGTATGTGCACAAGTCTACACGTGACGTTCCTATAATGCCTAGAAATTGCGAACCTGGTTTTTCAGATGGGAGTGTTCTTCAGCCCTTCTCTGGCAGACAAGGCAGGGTGTACGACTGTATTCAATACCCTTTTGGTTAAGTCCTCCACGGAGGAATGACTCCTGGCTCCCCCACTGTCTCAGGCAGGAATGAAGGGATGGGGAGACCCTTCCCTGCACTGTGCCTTCGGAACTGAGCGGCAGCCTGATGGGGGCCCTCCCTTCAGGGCTCCCTGAAGTTTCGGCAGGCTGCGCCGTGGGAGTGCACAGTGTAGGACAGCAGGCCCCAGCCTCCGTCCAGCCCAGCCACACAAAGCTGGTTGTTCTTTTTATTGCTACGTGATTTTCTTTTTTTAAATTTTTTTTAATGTTTTATTTATTTCTGAGAGAGAGAGACACAGAGAGAGAGAGAGAGACAGAGAGAGAGAGAGAGAGAGACAGAGAGAGAGAGGGGGGCAGTGTGAGTAGGGGAGGGTCAGAGAGAGAGAGAGGGAGATACAGAATCCGAAGCAGGCTCCAGGCTGAGCTAGCTGTCAGCACAGAGCCCGACGTGGGGCTCAAACCCATGAACCATGAGATCATGAGCTGAGCCGAAGTCAGACGCTCAAACAACCGAGGCCCCCAGGTGCCCCTGCTACGTGATTTTCAAGGTTACAGAAAGTCATTGATCCTGGAAGCAATGTCCTTCCTATGTGCAAGCAGCCTGTCACTCCAAGCAGGACTTTTTCCTCTAATGTCCACCCTCCTATTCATCCAGCCCTCGGCTCTTATATGCCATTTAACTGCCGGGTGGTACCCCAGAATGAGCCTGTAGATTATTTCTCCCAGAGCCAGGGAGCTAACCTGACTTATTCTACTTTTATTCCAGAGAATATAAAACATCCCCGTCTGGCCCCCATCATCCATTTGGTTAGTGTTCCTGTCCTACTTCACAAATAAGGAAGAAGGCTCAGTGCAGTACGGTGGCTTGTCCAGGGCCAAGGCTGGGTCATCAGGGAGCAGCCTCCCAGGAGGCTCCTAACGGCCAAGGCCTCGGCCTATTGCCCAGGGGCTGAAAGTCACAAGGAGAAGTTGACCCTCGGTAAAGAGAACTTGTTGCTATGTATTTGGTCATGGCACAGGCTAATAACCCCATGAAGCTGTATGACCATAATGTCGGTGCTTGAGAAAATGCCAACAAAAAACCTCAGTTTTTAAACACTGTCTCTTGGGGTTCCCATTCCAGAAGAAGACCCTTGTTCAGTGTGTGGGGGAGCGACCTCTGAGCAGTGGGGCTCTAGACACCCCCACCCCACTGGACCAGGGGCAGCTGTGAGTGTCCACTTTCTCTGGTAGGCTCTGGCCGACAAGCCCCGGGGCGGGGGGGGAACAGATCTGAAAACTGCTGCTCTCCTCCACGTGTTCGTTACACAGGTGGTCAAGGTCACACAGGTATCTAGTGTCTACTGTCGGGCTGCTGGTCCCCAGAAGGGAAGGGGGCGGGAGGTAACTGAAGTAGGATCTGGGAACTGAGCGGTCTTTGGCTTGCCTGCTCTCTCTAGAGGTCGGCTTCCCGCTGGACGAGAGAACATGTGAGCTCGTTTCTGGGGGAGCATGCCGGGAACACAGTGAAGGCCCATGGGCTGCTGGGGCGGGGCACGGACAAGTCACTCTTACAGCTACAATTAGATGAATAGGGTAGGTACACGCGCAATCTGCTAACCTACCGCTGGCTCTGACCTGTGATGCCAGAGCCTGCCTGATGCCGGTAACACTGGCTTTTTGTATGTGAGGGCAACGAGGCCTCTGTGTGCTCGGATTTTCTTCCAGTGATCCAAAACGATAGCCAGTGTTTGCGAGGACATCACAGAACCACGGCATTCACTCACGAGGCAATTCTGCCTTATGTAAGCGCCGCCTCTTTCCGGGAGTCTTCTCCACAAAGAAGATGGTGTAAGCCGGACCTGAGTAAAATGTAATTCTCTACGGCCCGCTCTCTGTGTTGAAATTCCCAGGCCTGAGGAACAGTGCTCCTGTCCTTGACAGACCCTGAAGGGGGCTCCGTAAGAGAGAGCGGGAAGGAACCGGGTTTCCAAAGCAAAGGATTCCAGAAGCAGTAAGAGGAGACTCATCCCTGAATCTGAACGGGAGAAGCTCCCCATCCAGGTTTCAAGGTCTACAAGTGTGCGTCCTGTGCCCTGTCCTGTCAGAAGGAGAAGGCACACCCACAGCCAGTGTCCCCGAGCCTGGGAGCAGCACTTACCTCCTCACCGTTCTGGCCCAGCTCTACCTTGGGGGGGAACAGGGGGAGGGAGCAGGGCGGTTTCCTTCTTGTTGGCTTACAGGCTGGTGTCTGGAGGGAGGGGACAGACATACACACAGAAAGAAAAAGAGAGAGAGGTAATCAGACAAGTGGGAGGAAGGGGAGGAAGCGGAAGCTGGTTTAGGAATGTGCAGGGGTGTCTGGAGGAGGAAAGATGTCAGAAAGGCTCCCTGCCACTAGCCACACGCGGGAACCCCCCCCCCCACCGCCCACCCCTGACTCCCAGGCTCCCGTCCCAGTCCTGCTGCTGCCGGAGTCTCCTCTTACTTGGGAGTCATTGGCCTGAAACAGCATCTCAAAATGACATCTGTTTCCAGCCTCCGGGCGCTGCCAGCACCTTAGACCAGCACTATCTCCCTCCCCCTTTATGACAGTCCTATCGCGTCTACAAGTCAAGGACTGGCTTTTCAGATAAACAACTGAATTTTCAGTAAAACAAAAGCACAAAACACTGCACCTAAAAAAGCATGATAGCTGCGCCTTTGTCCCGAGGGGCCACCCCCGACCTTGGGTGCCCTTCCTCCCTGGTCTCCTCATGAGCTCTTCAGATTGCGTGACTCCAGAAAATCTAGCCCAAATCTCTCCAGCATAACGACACCCGCTTTTACTCTGTCCTCTCCAGCAAGATACCTCTGGAGCCCATTGGTCACGGGATCCCTGTCCTTCTTCATCCCTGGCTTCCTCTCTGAATGCACTTTCTGTAACTTTTCTCTTCCTCCTCAAGTCTCAATTCATAATCTGCCCTCCCCTTGCCTTGCTCCGGATTCCTGGACCCTGGGACAGGGCCGAGCATGGCATATCTTTATTCAGGAACAGTCCAGGCCTGGCACTGCTGGGCGAGACCTCAGTCTCCCACGGTGGATGATCAAGATGGAACTGAAGCCAGGCTTCCATCCTTCAGGCTCTCTGCCCCGGGCCTCCTCCCTCCCGGCCAGAGTGTAAGCCTCACTCTGGTGAGGAAAGATCCTGCACAGGCCAGCAGCATGGCCACATTCCTCACATTCAGAGGGACCCCTCTCTGGCTTCTCTTCCTAATTTGGTAATTACCAAGCCTTCTCCCTCCCTCTTCTCCAGGCCTGACCCAGACTTCCCCTTCCTCCAGCCCCCTTCCAGAAGAGGGGCTCGGAAGCCGCCTGACTCACCTCCTTTGCAGCCGCTGCCTGCTCCCTAAACCGCCCAGCCAGCTGGGCCACCGAGGGGGGCGCCGAGTCATCCACACTGGCACCGGTCTCTGCCGATCTTTCCTGGCAAACCAAGGGGAAGCAAAAGTTAACCAGCAAATACACACTCAGCTCTTGTCAGTGCTGCTACTGGGTGTCACCCACGGCACTTGTCTGGTGGCCCTACGCGGAGAAGCTGTGACAATGAGGTCTTTCAATGGCATCTTGCAAGTGGCCCTGGCGTCCAAGGGTTTTAAAAAACCATCTAATCGACCACATTTAGTGAATAGTAACAGTGCGCTCAGCCCCAAGTCCTGTCCTGAAGGGGAACCCAGGGACTTGGGAGGCAGTATGAGCCCTGTGTCCTTCATTCTGCAAAGACCCAGACTGAAAGGGGGCATCCGAAGGGAAGAGGATGTAGGAGTCTCCTTCCCTGGGGTCAGAAGAGGGTTTCAGCAGTGGGGGCTGGCAAAACGCATTGGCAAGCGAGGCCTCAAGCGTATGAAATGGGGTAAGCAAATGCCCCTCGTTAAACTTTCAGTGTGTATGTACGTCTCTTTTCCTTCCTTAACTGAACCCCTTGGACAAAGAAGCGTTCGGCACGTTATTTGCTGAATTAATAAACAAGTGGCATGAGAGGCAGGTGGCACGGCAGGTGAAAGCCATACCCCCTGGGTTCAACGGCCCCTCCCCCCCATCTCTCCCTAGCTCAGTGACCTGGGCAAACGACGTCACCTTCCTGCGCCCTGACGGGGACAACAGTAGCACATCGCTGGTAGGCTTGGTCTGTGGATTAAATCATTTACTATCTGTTTGAAGGGCTGGGACCGGGCCTGGCACACCGTCAGCGCTGGGTAGATTGGTTTAAATCAATACAGCGACGGGGTCCTGCCCAGAAGCCTCGTGATGATTCAGGTCAGGCCCCTGGCACCGTGCATTTGTCTCTACAGCACCTCCTCCCTTTCCCTTCTGTCCGTTTTTGCTGCTGGACCCGCAGGGGAGTTAGGCTTCCCCACGATGGCTCCACGCCCGCTGGTGCCCCTTCTGTGCCTCCAGCGCAGACCACTGCCTCCCTGCGGCCGCCCTCGCCCCGTGCGCCTCCAGGCTCCCCCAGGAGGCCAAGACGCAGCCCGGACACCGTCCACCCCCACCTGCCACTTGTCACCGCGACACGACACACTCGGCTTGCGTGCGGCCTCCGAAGTAACTGTTTAAACGTCCCTCCTACAGACGTTAGGCTTCTGTGTTTTGTGACCACGTTGGCGGCATTTCTCACACCCCTGCAAACGCTCTCTGCCTCTTCCCCGCCTCACGTCTGGCCTGACGCTGGAAGGATCCGGGCAGCTGCTGGCCCAACAAAGCCCACTTCCCCGTGGGCCGCGGACGCCGCGGACAGCCCGCACGCTCCCCTCTCCCGCGCCCCTGCATACTACACTCAGAGACACACGGGCACGCATGCGCATGCCGACGCGGTACATCCGCACGCACGCGCGCGCCAACGCACCGGGCGCGTACGCAGGCGCGCGCGCGCCAACGCACATGCGCACACGCGCTGCACACGCTTCCGGGCGTTCGTTTATGTGCCGTGGTGTGTCTCCACGGGGGGGTGGGGGGGGTCGCTGTAAATGTCTCTGGCTGCTCCCGACGCTGCCCGGTGGGGCGGGGGCCCGGCAGACCCCGAGCCCACTAAGGAAGGTGCAGTTGAGCGAACAGGGCAGAGCTCTGTGAGGAAGGCGTTGTTTAGAGACGCGGAAGAAGTGCTGGGACTACGGACCTTCAGATCTGAGAACAGGGTGTTCTGAGGAAAGACCGGTCCATCTTTACTGTTTCCGGCTAGAATTCAAGGTCAAACGCATTCCAGCCTAAACACCAAATGCTGACTTCGCATAAAGGTGTGAAAGGATTCACCTCGAATATTCAAGATGCCAGGTTCTCCGCGATGCTGGGGAAGAGCGGGGGAATCCGATGCCCACCCCCGAGAAGGGCCCGCTGGGCAGGGTCACAGGACGCACACCCGTCTGCCTGCCACACCTGCCACGATGGGGGTTGTCCGAGGCGAACAGCTCATCCTTTGGGAACAACGGAGAGGCTTTGGGCACAGGGAGATTAATTGAGCCGCTCTTGGCAAAGACGCCAGGCTGATCGGTTTGTCCATCTGTCTAACTTCCTGCCCACATAACAGATCAGTCTCTCCGTCCGTTGCTATTTATTGCTCGGGTCCTGCTGACAGCGTATTTTACCTCAGCTTCGAAGGCACCAATCGCGGGTGTGCAGGAAGATACATTCCAGATAAAAATAGAGCCGTACAGGAATCAAAAACTCCTCCCGAACTTCCCCGTCTCGAAACTGGGCTTGGCCAGGGGCTCAGAAGTCAGAGAACTACGAAGCTTCTGGAAGCATTTAGGGCTTAAAAGCTGGGTTGAAGGAAAGATTGTAATACATCTGAGTTTGTTTCCCTAGGGCCCAATGAATGACTTTTCTTTAGAATGTCTAAGGACGCCAGAGCTCGTCGAAGCTGGCAAATCCACCACCGGCCCCTCTTCAGACTCTTACTCTATGTTGTAGAGGACTGCCTTTTCCTAGCTAGCACATCGCAGCCCAGAAAGGGCAAGCGACTTAGCCAGAGTCACACAGGAGGAAGCCAAACACAATAATCTACAAACATTGTACTCCAACACGTGATAACCCAGCAATGGATATTAGTTAAGTAGTATAATTTGTGAAGGTGTCTTGAACACTGTAAAGTGCTATATGAAGAGTGAGATTGTTATTAGCCACTGGGTTGCACAGATACAATGGAGGAAGCATGGCCTTGGAGATGGACAGGCGCCGGTAGCTCAGCCTGTTTGAAGTTCTGCCTGGATTTCTGCCTTGTGATTCTCACAGGTACAGCTACTGGCCTCCTCCAGTGGTCCGGTGGCACGCCACCTCAGGTCCAGGTTAGTGAGCAACTTCACTAGCTTTCTGTCTTGGCCCTGAGGCTGGTTTGGTAAGGCCATGCTCTCACCTGGACTGAGGAGGACGTCCGTGTCCTTGCCTAGTCTCCAACTTTCCTGGGACCCCTCAGCCTCCCCGGGATTAAGTGTTCTTTCTCTGTCCCTAAAATGTCCATGAAGTATTTAACACAGCGCCTGGAACTTAGAAGGTCCTTGTTGAAAGACCCAGCCTGCAGTGTCAGGGCCTGGGTCTCTGTTCCCAGGGTCATGGACACCCGGAACTTACCCCTCTGGACCACAGGAGGGGTCACAGGACTCCCCGGGCCTGCATCCACACTGAGTCTTAATCACTGCTTAGACCTCAGCTCATCCTTTCTTCTTGGGCCAATCAGCATGTCTTAAATCTGTTGTCTGGACTCCTCTCCCACTGTGTCTTGCTTTAGTTGACATGTTCACGGACTGTAGGTCTCCGTTCCATTTTCCTGGGCCCAGATCTTGCTTACCAAGCCCTCCCTGCTACCATTCCAGCCCGCCTCTGCCAGCCAGCTTGGAAACCGCTTCTGTGGTTCCTGTCTGACTTTTGCCTAGGCCAGAAAGAGAAATCACCTCTGGTGTTTACTTTCCATTTCTATGGGACTTTCTTCTGAGAACTGAGGAGCCCCTGTGTCTGGACAGCATGGAACTTCCCCCAAGCTGTTGCCGTGTTGAGTAAATACGGTTTGCACGCTGCCTGCCATCCACATAGTGGAATCTTTGTGTACAGGCCCGCACTGGGCTCTACCTACCTCCCTGGCTCTGCCCCCGTCTCTCCATCCTCCACCTTGGCCCAAAACGGAAGGTTCTCTGGCTCACCAGAAACAGGCCAGACAACCAGAGCGTTGAAAATACAAGGTATGCTTGCTTCCTTGCTCTTCTAGATGTACATTGGATCTTAACACAGTCACGTAAGGGATTCACTCTCTTCCAACGGGACCACACTTAAACTGTCACTTCAGAGGGATCAACAGACAGTCTCTCTGGGATGCCACAGTGGTTCCAGAGTCTTCCTTAACACCCTTGCCTTATCCCTGACTCTTCAGTTCACCCCAGCGTCCAGCCATTACCATCCTCGGATGATGCAAACGGCATTGGACCGGGAGCCAGGTGGGCCCATTTGACTTGCTTACATACTCAGAGCACCTGCTCTGTGGGAAGCACTCTCCTTAATAGCACTTGACACATTTCCTGTAACCTTCACAGCACCACTGCCAGAAGAAGAAAGTACCCAGAGTCGCTGAGTGACTTGCTATTCAAGTTAGGGCGTGCCAGCACCACAGTTCTCTAGATTCCAAAGCTCTAGCTCTTTCCAGACCAGCATGCTAAATAACTCTAGAGCTTTACCGGAAGGGTTATCTTATTCAGACATCAATACCTTACTCTGTCATCAGTAAACATTTACTGTTCTAGGCCCTGGGATAGAACAGCAAACAAGACAGATTTCTTACCCTTAAGGGGTTGCTGTCCCAGCAAGGGAAGCAAACCTCGAACATACACACAGATAAATAAGATCGCCTTTTAAATGCTAAGGAAGAGATAAAATAGGGCACTTTATCTCTGGGGGGTGTGGGGCGACATCTATGAGGGAAGACATTTATCATCCGACTTAAATCCCAGCTGGGGAAAGGATGGGAGGAAAACTCTTCCGAGCAGAAAGCACAGATAGGAAGGCTGGGGGCCAGAGCTAAAAGTGCGGTAGGGACGTGTTGTATACACGAGACAAGGGGGCGGGGAGGGCAGCCTGGGGCCTGCCATGTGGGAAGCAATCTGTATTTTACTCTGAGGGAATGGAACGCCATTTGGAGGGTTTCAAGGACGGGTGTGACCTGGGTCACACGTAAGAGGCTGCTCTGCGGAGGACGGGTGGGAAGTGGATGTGGAGACCAGGAGGAAGGTTCTGGCAGTGGTCCAGGCAACGGTGGAGCAGCCAGGCTTGCAGCAGGCAGGGGGTGCGAAGGGGGGCGCTGGGGGTAGGACAGCGAGGAATTATCGATGCACCGGGTCTGGGACGCAGGGGACGGGAGCAGCCAAGGAAGGCTCCCGGAAGTCTGACTTGGACAACGGGATGCAGGGGTATTTTCCTGGGCCGGGGCGGGCTTGTTGGGGAGAGAA